GGGCTGGGGATTCGAATCCGCCACCTTAGGTGTATGTGGCTGGTGCCTTAGCCTCTTGAGCCACAGGCGCCGAGCCCTTAACACTGCTTTATTACGACCCAGGCAACTTTTCCAGCTCCCATTTCACACACTGTGTACTACATGCCATGGGTTCACAAACTGTGGAGCTTTTTATATAGTGTAGGTACAGAACTCCAGTCCCTGCTGGGTGCTTGGGCCAGGCTTCTGCCCTGGGTCTTGTTGCCCCCTCAGTGAGGATGTGTGAGAAGCTGCCTCTCTTCTCTACTCCTAAATGTTCTTCATGCCCTGGCTCAGGCACCCCCCTTCCTCCAGGGGGCCACCCTACCAGTTGACCCCTTGCTACAGCACTAGTTGAGGGGCCTCTTGCCTCTGAATGTTCCCATGAGCTGTTTAGTGTGGGCCCCTGAGACAAGAACCAACTTTGTTCAAAACTGGTACAGAGTCTGTGCTTTGTGGGTCTTTAAAGTATAAGCATGCGATGGCATAAGGGAGAGGGTATGTCTTAGGTGCCTCCTTGTCTCCCCCCACCATTCATGCCTGGCCTAGACCTAGTCATGCTGTTGGGGCCCTCAGGAGCACCCTGGCTACTGCCTTGGATTTCCCTCCCAAGTCTAGGCATCAGGTTCAGTTCTCAGTTTTACCAGGAGACTGGGACATCCTGCTGTCCCTCAGAGGGAGCATTGTGCCCATGGGAACCCACCCTGTGCCTTCACAGGCTGACTGGCAATACCCTTTTTTACAGGACATCCTTACTGATCTGTCAGCAGAGAGTGAAGTACTCGACATACAGTGTGAGGTGCAAGACTGTTGGGCACACAAGGTATAAGCACTGGGGTTTGTGAATCTTTCCTGTTAATGTTAACTGTAATAAATAGTTACAACGTACTGTGCAAAGTAATTGCTTTCTTTTGTTATCCTCTTGAATCTCTTAACAGCCCTGTGAGCTTAGGGGTTTTGTTTGTTGTAAAAGAAAGGTGCCAGTTCAAAGAAATTGAATGAGTTGCCTGAAGCTGTATGGTTACTGGAATAAATGTGAACCTAGGTCTATGGCTTTTCTTTCCTCTTAAAGTAAAACATTCCCACAGTACAAAAAAGCTTTAGGATATCATAGCATAGAGCAATATGCTCTAGGTAAAAAATAAGCCTTCATCTCAGGGGCCAGCAGATTGCCCATGGGTTGTTCTCTAGGCAGCTGTAGCCAGGCCCAGGCTCTCAGTTTCACTCTTCTTGTGCTATGGTTTTGGAAGCATAGGCTTCTGAAGGAATAGAAACCTGCCTGCCCAGAATTAGAGTTACAGATTTAAAAAAAAACTTTAAAGTATACATAATAACCATTCTAACCATTTATAGGTTTAGTATACATAATAACCATTCTAACCATTTATAGGTTTACAATTCAGTGACATTAAATGCATTCATAGCACCCTGTACTTGTTAAACACTCAGTTCCCCTCCTCCCATCCTCAGCCCCTGGTAACCTCTCTTCTGCTTTCTAATTCTGTGAATTTGCTTGTTCTGGAAACCTCATATAAGTAGAATTATACAGAATTTGTCCCTTTATGACTGGCTTATTTCACTGAGCAGAATGTCATCAGGTTCATCCATGATAGCATACGTCAAAATTTCATTTCTTTTTAATGTTGAATAAATACTGTTGTATTATATAAATATATCACACTTTATCCATTGGACACCTGAGTTTTGTTTACCTTTTTTTATATACCTTTTTTTTCTTTGAAACAGAGTCTCACTTTTGTTGCCCTTGGTAGAGTACCATGGTGTCACAGCTCACAGCAACCTCAAACTCTTGTGCTCAAGTGATTCTCTTGCCTCAGCCTCCCAAGTAGCTAGGATTATAGGCTCTTGACACAACACCTGCTATTTTTTTTTATTGTTGCAGTTGTCATCATTGTTCAGCTGGCTGGGGCCAGGGTCTAACCCACCAGCCTCGATGTATATGGCCCGCGCCATAACCACTGTGCTACTGGCCCTGAGCTGAGTTTATTTACCTTTTGGCTGTTGCGAATATTGCCACCATGAATGTTGATCTATAGATATCGGATTGAATTTGTCCTTTCAGTTCTTTGGGTAAATATCTGGAAGTGGAGCTTCTGGGTCATGTTGTGATTCTGAGTTTCACTTTCCGAGGATCCACTGAGCTTTTCCACAACAGCTGCACCAATGTTCCATTCCCACCAGTAAAGCACAAGGGTTCCAGTTTCTCTACATTCTTGTCAACACACATTATTTTCCATTTTTTTTT